GGACTGATTGCTTTGTCTCCTGCATGGTCTGCAGCAGTCTTTAAGCAGCATTTATGCCTGTCATTTTAATTGTTTTATTGCCCTTTATGTTATATATATGTTATATATATGTTATATATATATATATATATAACATATATATATATATATATATATATATATATATATATATATATATATATATATATATATATATATATATATATATATATATATATATATATATATATATATATATATATATATATATATATATATATATATATATATATATATAAAAACCTTAGTGGAAAAGTTATATTTCTGAAGAGGGACCTGGTCAAGAATGGCAGCAGCAGCACACAGAAAATAAACAAAATGCAGACATTAAAATATATTTTGAATAAAATGAAAAAACAAAAAACGATATTTTTATAACTTAAAGTTCACAAACCAAAGTTTTGCCTTGTCAAATTAACCTGCAGAGATTTCCCTGCAAACATTCGGAGCTTCTTTGATCATTTAGGCCAAAGCAACCAGGACTGGAGCGAGTGCAGCAGCTTTTAGCCAATCACATGAGCTCATTTCATTAAGCGTTATACCAGTGTGTTTGGCAGGTTGGACTCTAATGAGGCTATTTTTCTTCAATATACGTCTAATTGTCCAACTGCACCCCAGGATAAGTTGCTTCCTGACCTGTTTTCTCCCAGACTGTTTCAGCAAAAAGTTTAGCTGCTGATAGAAAACGGTTGAGAAGAATGTAGATTTTATTTGGACAAACACTCTGGCAGACATTTGTGCTCCTGCTTGTGCAGAAATAAACAAACTTTGTTGAGGCCTTGCATGCTGATTGAATCATCCCTTACATGTGTTTACAGCTGATGCACACTTGTTCTTTAGCTCACAGGTTCATGTTCCTCCTTCACTTTCACTGTTTAGCCTCAGGGACACAAACAGTGGATGACATGAACTTGGACCACATTGTTGACATAAAGACATTTCCTGCAGCTCCAGCTTTCCCAGTACAACAACCCAGCGATGAATAAATCACACTGATCCTTGCTTTCGTCGTACTTCTGTTTTTTTGTCTGTTTCCTACGATTAGAAAGCATGTGGGCGGAGTTTCCCCGAAGCCTGGGTCTAACATGTGAGGCGTACCTCACACCTCAGCTGGAACCTGACCTGGCACACTCCGGCTAACACACGTGTTCCTCCTGAGGAACAGAGGCTGTTAAACTGCCTCCGGCTAAAATGTGGTGGTGTCAGTCACTGTGCTGAGCAGCTGTTTTATGTATGGCTCCCCCCAAAAAAAAACAACAACGGCAAGACTGGAATTCAATGAATTCAATGACAGCTGCCTCAAAGAGCGGGAAAGTAACACAACTTTGGCTTATCATTAAAAGAAACCTGTTGAATGACAGCTGCTTTCAACCTGTGCTTCCAAACGAAACGTTGTTATGATGTTATAACAGCCTGAAATCAAAGGCAACCAGACTTTCACTCAGTAGTTGATTGATTCGGAAGCCTATCCAGGAGTGTTTGTCGATCCTGGAGACTCTGAAGTCAAATAAGGCACAGGAAAATTGTGAAAAAATGGAAACATTGGAAGCTGACAGAGCTGTGATAAAATAATTATGCCACACCAGATGGGGTGTATTAAAAACAGATAATAAAAGGTAGAGGAAGGAAGGAAGAAGTAGGATGAAAACAATGAGTAAAGAAGAAAGAAATAAAGGAATTTGTGTGGAAAAGCGATGGAAAAGAAACGTGTAGTGAGTATAAAATCCACAATCCATCCAACAGCTTCTAAAACAGAACCACAACATCCACACCCATCATGTTGAGGATGGGGAGGGCTCCTCTAATTCACACGCACAAACACATGATGTGTGGGTGTTCATGCATGTAGGGGTGTTATGATAGAGATGCATGATAGAATTTCAATTCAGTTTATTCCAATAGCACAACACATGTCATCTCAATGCACTTTACAGAGACAATTCAACCTGATCATCCTGTCAGATTGGTTCAAAGTTTTCTATGAACCAAAGGAAAACCAGCTGATTTCTTCGACTCATTGACTTGAAGGCAACCTCTCAAACCAAGATTGCTTGTAACGACAGCGGAGAGGAAAACTTAACAGGAAGAAACCTCCAGCTCCACAGGCGGCCCCATCCTGGAAACACACAACTAGGTGGACGAGCTCCGAGTTAGCTCCCTTTCAGAGGATGAAGGAGAGCAAATTCAGCCAGTCACAGTCAGAGAAACAGGAGTAAACTGTAAAACAGGCTAAGTTCCAACATCTAGAAAGAAGGGTATTGATGCACAGCTGATATTTCTCAGCACAGCCGAAGAGGAACAGACCAGATGAAGCTACTATGATGAGAAAAAGAAGAGACAGCATAAGGTTAGAAATGAACAAATACTACAGAGTGTGAGAACAGAGAATGAAGCAGAATGATGAGAAGGGGTCCCTATGTCCTCCAGCAGTCTAAGCCTATAGCAGCATAACTATAGAGGTAGCTCAGCATAATCTAACTAACTATAACTCTAACCCCTAAATGACCCGTCCTCTTTCGGCTTCCTTGAATTGAAGCCTGCTGTATTTGCATTGATCAGGATGACCTAGAATCTGCAAAGCTGAGTCATGATGCTACTGTACAGAGTTTTCTTTTGTTAACAGCGCACACACCTTGATGCCTCTGGGAGCAAACTTCACTGCTGGCGGCTTGTTTGGATGACAGTTACAAGAGAGGCGCTACAGGAGAGACCGCACATGTAGCATAAGCACGTGGAGCACATACCGCCACAACAAAGCCAGGGTCACAATAGGCATGCTTTGGGCCAGCCCTCCCTCTAGATCATGCCCTCCTTAATCACAGTCATGTTATTGAGAAGGCTTACTATAACATATATTTTCAATATGTTTACAAACTGGAATTCTTTCACAACTTCTTTTATAACTTGGGGAAAAACATTGGGAAGGTGCAACCAAGGCTAGCTGAACCACTTTATCAGAATTGGTGGACAAACTGTCCTCTCTAACACTCATGTATTAAATGCATCCTCATAATGTTGGGGCCGCTAAGGTATTTATGTGAAAGACAAATTGCACAAAAATATGTGGCAAGAATTTCAGAGTCTAAAACTGTAAGGGGAAGTATGTATTTTTAAAGTTAACTGTTGAAGAAACTGCAGATGTTCATGTTTCTGTAGAAAACCAAGAGGAAGCTGGCGTAATGTGAAGAGCCAAAGGTCATCTTCAGATAGGAGACCAAAGGATGAGTTCAAACAGGAGGGTTAACCTTTAACATGATGAAAGGGAGGAGGTCAAGTTCACGTTTTAAAAGGTTGGAGCGGACAGCAGAACCAAAGGGTTTGCTGGGAAGATAAGACTTTATCAGAATCGAGTTGTTTCTGTGTAACTTTAAGGGTCAAGTTCTGTCGAAATGCTGAGAAAGGTTGATCCCACAAAGTATTTCCGGTTTTCAATTCACAAATAGAGCCATAAAGGGACTTATGTTTGTTTGCACGTGAAGCTTTCTGTGAAATTGATTATTTAAAGAAATTCAAACAAAACCTCGAGATGTTTTAACGAGACATTTATGATCCCCGTGATGAAATTAGATTTCCTGTTTAATGACAGGTGGCTGTGGTTCCTTCCAGAGCAGTAGCTTCGTCATCATGAAAACACACTCTTTGATGTCATCCATGTCTTTAACACCATTTGAACAGAACAGAACATTTTTTTTTCATTTTCTTCCACTTTATCCGGGGCTGGGTCGCGGCGGCAGCAGTCTAAGCAGAGACGTCCAGACTTTCTGATCCACACTCACCTCCTTCAGCTGCTCTGGGGGGACCCTGAGGCGACACTGGTGCAGGTAAGGGACCTTTTGCTGCACAGGACTACACTGGAAAACAGGCCGATCTCCAGCATCCAGCAACTAACTCTGTGTCATTTAGAAAGACTGGCTCCTTTAAGCCAGCTTCAGAAATAACAGCTTTCAGATATCAACAATGTAATTATTTAGTTTTAATGTTTAGAAAATAGCTTTTAGCCAGCATAAAAATTCCCAGCTGTTGTTAACTGTTTTCGCTGACGGTTATCATAACCGTCCGTCTTCCTCCACATGGAAGTAGGTCATGGTCAGGTGGTTTAGGTGAGCTCATTGCTCTTATTTCATTTTTTTTTTATAATCTTATTTCCCAGAATCAGACACACAGCCCTGCTGAACAGGACAGGTTCAGCCCAGTCCGTTTAAACTGCCAGAACTTCAAACGCTGAGGCACACGAGTCACGGTGACCTTGGTCTGGAGCATAGTGCATTTGGACACAGGCTGCTCTGGTTGCACATTAACTCCCAGTTTGACTCAGTCTGCCCCAGAGAGATGACGTGGATCTGAAAAGCACCAGCTGACAGTTTGATGAAACCATAAGCAGCCCAGCAGGAGGACATCACTACGCATCAAGCCTGCTATTTACACACATTTGGAGACAAGCGTATAGCTTTTAGTTTCTCACAGACATAAAAAACTGTTTCCTCTTTTCCGACCTTGATGATACTTCTCTCTTATTCCAGCCTCAGAGATGATTCTCTGTAGATGATGCTCTTTGTCTCTTTCCGCAGACATAGTAATCAAACAGCCATTCTCTTGTTTCCTTTGTGTGGATCTCTCTCCAGGCACAGGTCTGATCTGTCTAGCTGTGTTTCTCTCCTGGCTGAAGCCACTAAAGAAAGAAAAACTCAGATAAACTTCCCAGATCTCTCTCTGGGAATCACCTCTCTGCCGCCTCAGTCAGCATAGAAACCGTCCCACGACGTTTATTGCTGTGTTTTAGATCTCATTATGTTTTTAATATAGGGGGGGTTGGTGGCCTAGTGGTTAAGGCATAGAGCTCAGAATCCTGAGGTTGTGAGTTTGAAACCCACTCCCACAGACGACCACTCTGGGTCTCTGGGCAAAGACCCTTAACCCCTCTTTGCTCCCCAGCTGCCCCACGATGGCAGCCCACTGCTCCACTAGGGGATGTGTTTGATGCAGAGGGGCGTGTTTGGTCTGTTGGGCTTGCAGCATTCAGAGGGTTTACATGGAGCTGGTGTATTTGCTGACAGCCTCAGACACGGCGTGCTTGGCCAGCTCCCCGGGCAGCAGGAGGCTCGCAGCGGTCTGGATCTCCCTTGAGGTGATGGTGGAGCGCTTGTTGTAGTGAGCATGGTGAGAAGCATCGGAGGCGATGCGCTCAAAGATGTCGTTGATGAATAAGTTCATCCTGGATGACATGAACGGCTTCAGCACCTTGTATATGGCGTAGCTCACCTTCCTGGGCTTTCTCTTCTTGTTGCCTCCTTTGCCGGCGGTCTTGGTCTCGGCTTTTTTGGAGCCCTTGTTGGGGGCGTGCTTGGTGGGTTCAGGCATCCTGGTGTGTTCCTGGAAACAGCAATGAATTAAATTTCTCCAATGTGAGATCAATAAAGTTATTCTATTTTTGTATTTAATATATGAAACATCTTCATCTGTTCTGGTTTGAGATGCTGCACAGACTCGTTAAGAAAGTTGTTTTTTTATTAATTTATTTTCGTTTAATAATTTTTCATAATCTGTCCAAGTCAAATGTGGGAAATTTGCTGGTGAGGATTCTCAGTCATCCAGGTCATAGTCATTCCAAACAGGTTAGAAAATAATCCACTGGACTTTGTTCCCAAGTTTTAAGATGTTTCGCTTCCCATCCAGGAAGCTTTTTTAATTCAAAGCGTCAGAAATAGTTTAATATTTCTGATATTTCTCTACTGTGGCATTTTATCAAGTATATTTTTACTCTTATTTGATTAAATGTTGAAAGACAGCTCAACTCAGTAAAAAGTTTGGGTCTTCTATTCATCTCTGCCTTTGTCTTTACTTTCTCTACTCATTTTCTCTGGATTGTTGGATTTTATTCCTTCCAGTGTTTATTCCAGTTTTAACATTTTTTTTAACTCCTCTTTTAATTAGTCACTTCTCTGCATCTGTATCTCCTCATTTGTTCCACTGATTTCTTCATTTTATTTATTTCTATAGCACCAATTCACATCACGTCATCTCAAGGTACTTTCCAGTTCACCAGATCATCCAGTCAGATTGATTCAAAGTTTTCTATCTAAGGAAAACCAGCTGACTGCATCGACTCATTGCAATCCCTCAGACAAGATGCTTGTAGCGACAGTGGAGAGGAAAAACTCCTTTTTAACAGGAAGAAACCTCCAGCAGAACCAGGCTCAGTGTGAGCGGCCATCTGCTGAGGCCCACTGGGGTTCAAGGAGACAGAAGCAGACATAGAAAAAGAAGCATAGATAAAAAAAAAAGCGACTAGATCTACATCTCTAAAGCAAAAAACATCTGTTTCTCCTCATTTGTTCCACTGAATTCTTCTTCACTTAAGGTCTCAGTCCTATGTCAGTATTCATCGGGCCTTTTTGCTCCATTTCCATGTTTCATCGCCTGTTTCTGTTTTATGTGCCTAAAAGACTTTATTACAATCTTTAAAACTCACCGTGTGGCATCATTATGCATTTTAATCCAGAACAACCAATTATCAAAAGATTTGTTCCTAATAAATAAACCTAAATGGAATAATAATCTGCACTGTATTGTTTCTGTATGATTAGATTTCATTGATTCCTTTGAAGAAAAAACTAAAAGAAATGTAATTTAAGGGCAAAAGTTCTTTATCCCTAAATGTTTATTGTAAATCAGCCTAAGTATGAATGTTTCTGGGCTGAACTTTTTGTTCAGTGAGTTTAGATGAACTCTGTTCCACACCTCAGGTTCACTCTGACCTGTTCTGTTGGGACAGGATTGCTTCATCTGAAAAGTACTTTTTTGTTGCAAACTTGCATTTGTAGTTTATAAAGACTATAAAGTTTCCTTTGTGTTTTTCTAAATATTATCCTCCTATTCTCACTTTTTTCCAGAGGAACCGCTCTGTCATATTTAAGTTGAATTAAAAACGTTTAAAGAAGGTAACAAATAAAAAAAATAATCTCAGAGGAGACCAGAAAAAACAACTGCTTACAAAAGTTGCACATTTTTGGCTGGCATGAAGCCATCTTAGTGCTGAGTGAAAGTTCATAGCAGCAGTGCAGAGTGTGAAGTAACTGCTGCGGATCCCAGGAATGAGGGCGCAGGCTGGGATCAGGACGCAGCGTTCTCCTTTGTATAAACCTGCACTAAAGACATGCGTTGGGCCCGATGCCAGGCCGTTTAGATTTCTGCCGAGATGGAAAACGTCATTCACGGCATGCAGCAACACGGCTCACACCTGTCAGGGTTCAGCCGTTAGAGGAAAAGTTCATCTCAGCAGTTTCAGAAAAAAAAAACTGATTTGTTTCCCCCTTAACTGCCTGAAATTGCTGGAAATTATCTTTATTAAAATATTGCTCACAGACGGGAAACACTGCTTAAAATTGGTTTAATGTTTTGCATTCGAGCCATATTTCCATAAGACTTATTTCAACGGCTTTTGAGGCCTCCGGTTCCAGCCTCAGGCTCATTTGAATATGATATCTAATATTTTAATAAAAACGGTTTAAAGGTGCCGTAGGAGATCTTGGAAAAATGGTTCCAGCAAGCTATGTTTTTGAAAATACACAACCATGCCTCTCCCTTAGGACCGCCCCTCGAAACCACACCTTCAAAACACATGAACGCGCATACGAGATCGAGAACGAAACAACAGGAGACCGATTGCTTGTAACACGAGCGAACAACAACTTAATGCTACGTCACACCTAAGGCAGCAGAGGCAGCAAAAGCAGCTAGTTTACATGCAAAGTCAATGGTGGACGTGCATCACGGTGCAGCAAAAGGTCCTGCAGCGCGTCTAGAGCAGCAGGAGCAGCGCGTCGCTGATCTGGGAGCTGGCAGGGAGTCAGACACAGCACTGCTGATGCAGAGCGCAATAATCACTCCTCTGAAACAGTAACGCCTAAATTAACTTAAAATGCCGAAATCTGCCAGCAAAACATGTTTGCTTTTATTCCTCTGGTGCCTGCAGTTTGGATTACGTACATGAAAAACGCCTTCCGCACAAACCGCGAAGAGGCGACCGGGCCATAGGCTGCTGTTGAATGGGATTCCCAGTGACAGCGCACCGCCGGTGTACGGGGGTCTGAGCGGCTCCGACAGAAATAATATTTGAAGGCAGGATGTTAACCTGGATGATGAAGTTTTCAGGTGGACTTTCTCACTTCAAAATAGATTCAAACTACTTTTTACCCACTGATCACAGCAAATGTAGCTGCCATTGTTACAGGCAAAGAAAGGATAGGTTAGCTCCGCCCAACGTGCATCAGACCCACTTTTTCCACCACAGCTAGAGCAGCAAAGATGCTACAGCCGTGCGTCAGGCCTAAGCTGGTGCAAGCATAAAAAATGAAGCAGTTTTAGCTGCTCTTGCTGCTTTAGGTGTGAACGTAGCATAACAGCGGCTAGCTTCCAGCCATGGCGTCATGCACGAGAACTGGGGGGTCGATTCGTTCATGTGTCAGGGTACGCGCAAGCAGACGATCGTGATTGACGTGCCAGGAACCAATCGTGTACAACGGACTCTCTTTTGTGATTGGTGGACGTTACTCATTGATTTCTCACTGTAGCGGGGACCATTTATTTTCATTTCACTTCCAGACCTTCTATTTCACTGTTTGCTATGCGGCTGTGAGGAGATCTTCAAGCCACATGGCAAAAAATGTGTCAGAAAAGATCTCCTACTGCACCCTTAAGTGATTTAGATTAAGTGCAGATTATGTCAAAGCATTTGATGTTTTCTATCAAGACAGACAATGAAATGGATCCAAACGTTCCAGGTTTCCCGTTATTTTAAAAGATTCCTTAAAACCAGTTGTCCAAATAAGAACTTCCTGTTCTTCTTTTTGTTGTGTGGGGAAAACACAGCTGTTAGAGTTGATCAGGTAGATAAGATGTTCATTTGCACAGCGAGGAGTGCAGCCGTTGAGGGAAAAAAAAAAAAAAGTTCAGTTAGTGCCGGCAGTAACTAATTTATCAGAGTGGCTTAATCATTTACAGCTGAGGTATGTGGAACCGAAGGACTCTGGGTGTAAAAGTACAAGTGGTGTGTTTTACAGCAACCGGAAACTCAGATTAATTTTTAAATGCAGCTTAGGAGCGAGAGCTGCCTTTTATACCAGCGTCATAAATGTAATAACTGCCTCTACACTGCAGAACGTGGTTTAATCATTATTGAAAAGAAATAAAAAATCTCTTCTTTAGAAGCTCAGTTTGTGTGCCTGGCTGTGTATTTCCTGGACAGGGCCGCCTTTAGTATTTATGCTTCTTTTTCTATGTCTGCTTCTGTCTCCTTGAACCTCAGTCGGCCTCAGCAGATGGCCGCTCACACTGAGCCTGGTTCTGCTGGAGGTTTATTCCCGTTAAAAGGGAGTTTTTCCTCTCCACTGTCACTATAAGCATGTGTGAGGGATTTCCTTTGAGTCAATGAGTCGATACAATCAGCTGGTTTTCCTTAGATAGAAAACTTTGAATCAATTTGACTGGATGATCTGGTGAACTGGAAAGAGCCTTGAGATGACATGATGTGAATTGGAGCTATAGAAATAAACTGAATTGAATTAAGACCTGTCACATCCCTGCGATCACACCTTTTAAAGCTTGTTAGATGAACACACAGTAGTGGGGTTTTAATAAATACAAATGTGTGAGTCAGTAGAACCACCTTGGGTTCCGGGTGCAGTTGAGGTTTGGTCCATTCTTCAGCTCAGGCAGATTAGATGGAGAAATCTGAGCGCCTCTTTCCACAGATTTTCATTTAGGCGTTGGTCTGGGGTTTGACTAGGCCCTACAGATCTGTTAAAGGAGGAAGTTATGTCCCCTAAAAAAGGCTGTTGCGCCTCAGGGCTTCCTCACGGTTCTTTTCCTGGGAGCAAGTTATTTACTACTCTTAACTCAAACTGGGTAAAACCATGAAAAAAGGACTATAAAAACAGGAGTAAAAATGTAACAGAGTTTATTCCAGATCAGGTCGTTACAGGACCTGATCTGGAGCTTGCACAGCTGTGGGCTCAAAGCTTCCGGCAAAGATTGAGCCCCGAACAAGGTCATCTTCTCCTTCTTATAGCTCATGAGTCTATGTGTTGGACCGGGTGGATGCTTAGTTGTCCGTATCAGAAACTGACACACCATCAATGCCCAAGGGTTACAGATAGCTCTCCTCTATCAGTCTGGCTCCAAGATGTGCCCATATCCTGTGTATTTTTGAAGACACAAAGGCTTTCCTGATTAGATGACCTCCGTACACACAGTGACATCCACAATGTGAAGGAAGGCCATCCACTCTCTCTAATCCGGCTAGCAAAGTAATAGTGCACATGATGTATAAAGCATAAACCTAACAGATCCCTGAATCTGCTTTG